TCTCCAGAGGCTGAGGCCCTTGACCACAAAGGCACTGGTCGCCCTCGCCAACCCTCAATGACCGCGGGTGTAAATGCGCCTTTCCGCCAGCAGGGGGCAGGCGCTGCATAATATTCTGTTGTAAGGATATACATCATATTTTAACCAATCCCGTGTTCAGGACATTCTGTTTGTTTCCCAACTTTTACTAGTATAAACCACTTAGGACGAATATACTGGAACAAAACAGCAACATGAAGCCCCATGTATTTATCTGTAGCGCAGGTGCGGTCCACAAGTCCCTCCGTGTACTACCGGTCTTCCCTGGAGATAAGTTTCTGAAGTTCCTGCATGGGTGTGGGGTCTGGGAGCTGTGGGTTGACAACAGAAAACCCTTCCAGATGCACTTGCTGTTACCGGACCTAATGAAGCCTAGGAAAAGTGAACATTCTGGGCACAACTGAGTTATTAGTTTTATTATGACTATGATTTATTTATTTATTTTCTGTAATGGGTATCTGAGAAGTCAGTATCAATTGGATTAAACTTTGGTCTTTTAATGCTGGAGAGAGTTAAAATAATAGCCATTTTAATATAGGGAGGATGAACTAAGATACTAGGATGGACAACTAATTTATTTTTACATTCACTTGGAGCATATTCTGGAGCAAATTGAGAGTTTCCATTTGTAAGACCATTTATCTAAATTGCCTCATTGAACCCTCACAATAGACTACAAGGTAGGTCTGATTGTCCCCATGTTAGAGATTGTCCTGAGGCCCAGACAGGAAGGTAATAGCAGGGAGCAGCAGAATCCTGAGCGTCTACCTCCAAGCTTGAGTGTTCTTCCTTGTGCGCTGCTTCTCAGAGGAGGCAGGGTGCGCGGTAGGGTTAAGGTCAGTTCTGCCCATTCAGGCTGCCTCTGATTCTCATCTTTAAGAAGGGCCTATCATCCAGACTGAAATACCTGCCTTGTCAGGGTTTTGTTTCCGAGGTAGTCATGTTTCCTTAATAAAATGTATTTGTAGAATGTGACAGATGGAACTAGTCTCCGTTTCAATGGTTTTCTCACCTTTCACACCCTGGTCGTTCTCCAGGTGCAAGCTGTGTTTATTTTTCTTTCTATATTTTATTTTTTAAGATTTTATTTATTTGTCAGAGAGAGAGAGAGCACAAAGCAGGAGGAGCAGCAGGCAGAGGGAGAGGGAGAAGCAGACTCCCCACTGAGCAGGGACCACAATGAGGGGCTCGATCTCAGAACCCTGGGATCATGACCTGAGCCAAAGGCAGACGCTTAACCGACTGAGCCACCCAGGCGTCCTGCAAGCTGTGTTTGTGAACACAAGTAACACAATTATGTTTGCTCTTTTAATTGATCATACATGCACGTATATAATATATATTATATATATAATTGTTATGTGATGCTTTTCGGTCCCTGAGTTAAATGGTTTCACCACAGCAGAGACACTTGGTATTCAGTTCTTTTGTTAGCCCCCCTGCATTGATCGTTAATACAGATAAATATGTGTTTCCCTTTGGGTGTTTGCAATATTATGTAGTAAGCTGCTGGTACTCTGGTAAAGCAGTTGTCAAAGTGTGGTCCAAGGACCTTGATGGTCCCCCAAACTCTGTTGAGGTGTCTGTGAAGTCCTAACCCATATAACTATCTATCTGTGGGAGGCTGGATTTTCTTTGTATAATTCCGACAAAACAACACTGTGCCATAGATTGAATGGAAAAGCAGATATGACAATCCAGCTGTCTACTTTTAAGCCAGGCCTTAAAGGAATATTCAGAAATGTGAAGCAATGCCATTGTTCGTATTAATTTTTTGTTTTGGAAAATGGAATTATTTTTCATAAAAATATATCAATGTCATATGATGGATTCACTATTGTTATTTTAAAATGAGTTAATGAGTAAATCTCAGGAAATTTTCTCCATGTTAAATTTATAATGTGGTATATATGAATAGATAAACCCAAAACCCCTTTTTGGAATCCTCACTAATTTTTAAGACTATAAAGGTGAATCATGCAATGGGGCCTGGCTAGGGCATTGCCCGTTCCCTCTCTAAGAGATCATGATAGAATGGCCCCAATCTATAACTCTTCCCTGCATTCACCCCCTTGTGCAGTGTCTTCCCCCCTCCCCCAACGGTGACTCTGGGCTGGGTTTGTGCCTGACTTGGACAGACAGAGTGTGGCAGGAATCACTGCATGAGGTGCTGTGTCGAGGCCTTGCTGCCTCTGTTTTCACCGTCTTGGAAACCTGAGCATCCTGGAAAGAGCAGCTCCCCTGCTGTCGAGTTCATGGTGGAGGTTGTGGGGGGGAAGCCCTGGAAGGTGGATGGCCATGAGGAGAGAGAAGCCCTGTGTCCCAGCTGACCCAGACGATGGACTAGACAGGAGAGTGATGTCGCCCGGAATTCTGTAGCCTGAGTTAGAGTTGCAGTAGTAAGCCCAGCTGGTACGAGATGGAGGCCACACAAGCCATCCCCACTGAGCCTCAGACAAGGAGCTCACTCTTTCTTATCTACCAGGAAAATGGTAAAATTCTCTATGATATGGACATAATCAGTTTGATAGTAGGTCACCCTGGATTCTGAGCACAGGTAAGAGTCAATATCTTCTCTAGGGAAGTGGAAGAGGGAGTTACTGATAGGGACGGCATTGTTATGAGGCTTAATACAAATGTCTAGAACACAATCGGTACATCCACGCAGTGTCAGGCTCCTTCATTTCCAATGCTCAGTGGAGAATTATGATGTATATATATGATGAGTGAAGCCAAGATATGTTAGAATATCCAGCACCCGTCAAAGTTTCCTCCTGGGTGTTATGTTCCGGGCCTCTTGATTGCCCATTAGACCAAAGGTAGATGAAGGGAAGAAACTTTATCAGAGACAGCTGAGGACAGCAACTCCGGCACTCATGTCTGCTGAGAGGCATCTCCAGTGTACTCACTGGTCCTCTAAGCTAGAGGGTCTTAGAGGTTTGAGATCATCCTCTAGTCTTTTGAGCTGATCTTTTCTCTTGTTCAATTGAATGACAGTTCTGAGCCGCAGGGTAGAGGGAGAAGTAGACTCCCCACTGAGCGGGGAGCATGATGCGATGCAGGGTGTGATGTGGGGCTTGGTCCCAGGACTTTGGGATCATGACCTGAGCAGAAGGCAGACACTTAACTGACTGAGCCACCCAGGCACCCCATATCCTGCATTCTAATGAATTTGCTTATTAGTCGTATCAGTTGTGTGTGTGTGTTCTTTAGGATTTTCTGCATAAAAGATCATGTCATCTGCAAACAGAGGTAATTTCACTTTTCCTTTTCATATGTCTAATAAGAGGGTAATTTCCAAAATGTATAAGGAACTAGAACTCAATAACAAAAAAATAACTAATCCAGTTTTAAAATGGGCAACAGACTTGAATAGACATCTCTCCAAAGAAGACAAATGGCCAACAAGTATATGAAAAGATGCTCAACATTATTAATCATCAGGAAAAGCAAACAAAACCACTTCAGATATTGAGATATAACTTCACACCTCTTAGAATGGCTCTTATCAAAAAGATAAGAGATAACCAGTGTGGTGAGGGTGTGAAGAAAAGAGAACTCTTCTGCACTGGCGGTAGGAATGCAAATTGCTACAGCCACTGTGAAAAACACTATTGAGGTTCTTCTTCGAAAAATTAAAAATGGAATTACCATCTGATCCAGCAATTCCACTTCTAGATATATATCCAAAAGAATTGGAGTCAAGATCCTGGAGAGAGATCTGCACTCCCATGTTCGTTGCAACATTTATTCACAATAGCCAAGATATGGAAACAACCCAAATGTCCATCAACAGATGAATGGATTAAAAACAAAACAAAACCCGGCATATACATGTGGGGGAATATTATTCAGCCTTGAAAGGAAATCCTACCATTTACGACACTGTGGATGGATATTTAAAACATCCTAAGTGAAATAAGTAAGTCACAGAAGGAAGAATCCTGCATGTTTCCTCATATATGAAGTATTTAAAATAGTCAAATGTATAGAAGTAAACAACAGAGTGGTAGATGGGGGAAAGAAATGGGGAGATTTGTTCAATCTCTATGAAGTTAGTTATAGAAGATGCGGAAATTCAGAAGTTTGCTGTACAACATAGTGCATATAGTCAACAATAAGGTATGGCGTACTTAACAATTTGTTAGGAGGATAGATCTCAGGTTAATTTTTACCACAAAACAACAACAACAACAAAGGGAACAAAGAAACATTTGCAAGGGCTGATAAATATGTTTATTACCTTGATTGTGGTGATGGTAACATGAGTGTATATGTGTGTCCAAACTTACCAAATTATATGCTTTAATTATGTGCAGGTTTTTATATGTCAATTATACCTCAATCAAGCTGGAAAAAAATCAATTGTACTTATCCTGCTGCTAATTCCGATTGTGGAATACAATGGAATGAACAGGAATAAATCATGAAGACTGAGAGGGATAGTGTCTGGAGCATAGCATTTAGGTTAAGAGATCTTCATGATAGACAGAAGGAGAAGAGATGCATCTCTTAAGTGCCTGCCTTTGGCTTAGGTCATGATCCCAGGGTCCTGGGATTGAGCCCCACATCGGGCTCCCTGCTCAGCGGGAAGCCTGCTTCTCCCTCTCCCACTCCCCCCTGCTTGTGTTCCCTCTCTCGCTGTGCCTCTCTCTGTCAAATAAATAAATAAAATCTTTAAAAAAAAGAAAAAGAAAGAAAATGCAAGAATAGGGAAGAGAGCACCCCTCTGCAGAGTACAATGAGATCAGCCCCTAGGCTCTTGCCTTTTTCTCCAGGTCTGTGCAGGAAATAGCCAGCATGATGGTGGCCGGGGCTCTATGATGCTGCTTGTCCAGCTGGACCTGTTCCTGGCTCCCCTTCCTCAGCCCGGAGGAGGCCCATAATAGTTGGAGGACACAAGAGTTTTCATGGCAGTGAGGATTATCTGTGCCTGGGGTCAGCCTTCCTAGGTTCACCCAGGCGGCCTCCCCCTGGCGATCATTCTTCCCCTCCAACTTTACCCTTAAGGTCTCTCTCCAAGCTCAACATTCTCACACTTTCTAAGAGACTATTTCTTTTCACTGAATTCGGGCTTCTCAAAAAACATTAAGTTTGACCTCAAACACATCCAACCTTCGAAGACTGCAGATATCCCTGAGCCAAGGAAATGGGAAAGATCTGGCTTCCTGCTTGGAACGAGGGGAATGAGGAAAATACAAGAGAAGAAAGAAAAAGTAAGCTCTCCGCAAAATATCCTGCCTTACATATATCCTTTCATTTTCTTACTGAAAAATTTCTGAGCACTGCCTCTGTGCTCTTCCCACCTCAGGACTCAGAGTAGGGAGCACCGGAAGGTATTGTATCCTCAGTCTGTAATATCCAATTTTCCTCAAGTCCCAATGTGAGATCCAGCTGCAACGGACCTGTGGCAGTTTCTGCAAAGGTAGAGGGGTCTCCTGGCCTAACTTAAATTTAAAGAGGGCCTTTTGGTGTGTGTGTGTGTGTGTGTGTGTCTTACAGGGGAGGTGAGCCGGGAAAGGGAGCTGGTTTGCTTAATGATTGAGCATCTCTTCCTTAGTCTCAAAAAAGTGGGGTTGGGGAAGTTTCTACTGAGTGGCAACATTCCTGAGAGCCACTTTATTGCCTGAAATTAGAAGTTATTGTGCTACACAGATCTTTGTTAACAGTTGGGAAGATAGTTCAATGAAAATATGGAATCATTTTGAAAGCGAACACCCTTAGAATGCATCTTTCTGCTCTCAATCTTTGTGCATGATCATGAATTCAGATGCTCCCAGATTTCTCTGAGATAGAGATCTAGAGACTCTAACATCAATCAGGATCTCCTCCGTGGACATTCTCCAATAATCTGAACATTTTTTAAGTAAAAGTACGAAAATGTGTGAAGGTCCACTAATAATATCCAAGTCAGATTATGCCCAGAAATTTGTCTCTAGGATGTCCCAGGTGAGCACATATCGTTGAGAATAGAGACACACATGTGCTGTACTAAATGTGAGTGAGCCATGCAATGAAATGGCCCGGGGGATATGGAACATCTGAAAGGAAGAGAAGGAGTCAAATAAATGAAAGAAAGAGGGAGGGGGGATATAAGGGGGTATGAATGAAAAGAGAAAACCTCCCAGTGTGATGGACACTCTTCTTCCCCTGATGCCTGTGGTCTGGCCTTGTGTGGAGGCCATATCTATTGAGTCCACAGGACTGGAGGTTCCCTGGGACTGGGGTGTGTCTTTGAGTCCCTATTACCTGGTATAGAGTCCATGGTGAGAAATATTTGATGGATGGATGGCGGGACATGTTTACATCTGACCCCGTACACCAAGTTTGCTAAACATCCTTAAGTACATAAATCAGAATATTCTACTAATTATATGTGGGACTACTTTCTCTTCTGAATCTCAGTGATCATCTTTCTAGGTTTCCGGTTTTAAATGCTAGCTGTCCCCGAGGACTGGCGCCATGATCAGAATCCTAGCGATTCCAATCTTTCACCAGTGCTCTCCTGTCGAGGGCTGTTTTCTGTTTTCCAGACCCTCCAGCTATTGGCAGGAGCCTTCTTTCCACGGGCTATTCACAGCAAACATCACCACGGTTCCCACCTGACTGATAGTGCCAGGCAGTGTTTGAAACCTCCAGGAGTGCCTGTCCTCCCACTGGGCCACCTCTTCTAGAATTCTGACATCAGCCCGAATCCACTGGGCATTTTACTTTGGACTCTGGTCACTCTCCTTGGGAGCCAGCTCTTTAGACAGTTCAGCATATCCTGATAAGAACAGGCTTCTTCTATTACTCAGTGACCCATCGTGGGGGTTTCGTGTGACCAGCAGTCAAGAGTGGGGGCACGATTAAGGGGAAGTTGGAAAATGCATTTGTGAGTATCTGAGGTTCCTAATTTGTCCTCTGAAAACTGGTGGCATGCTGGAATACTGGATTCTACTGCACACTAATACATAGCTACTGTGATTCAGAAGGCTTTACAAAAGCCCTCTAAACAGGCAGTGGAATCGTCCAGGAGAGTTAAAACAGGACCGTAGCAACCCATGTGGTTTGCGTTTCTTTTCTTCCCCTGCAAAGTGAGTTTCAAAGGTCCTAATGCGCTGTTATCTTAGCAGATTAGTGCTATGGGAACAGAAGACTCCACCAGGTGCCCTCCAGGGAGACCGAAGGGTCACGTAAGTTTGCTAATTCAGATAGTTACAGGTTAAGGCTTTAAAAGGAATAATTAAAACCAGCACTGGGGCCATTCAGATGAAGTAAAAGTGAATAAAGCCTTTTCTCCCTTGGACTTTCGTTTCTTTTCCTTTTTGTTTTCCTCAGAATGACTTTTAAGGATCACTAATCCTCTTATATCTTAGAGGAGCAGGAACACTAGGAGAACTGGGTGCTCTGTTGAGGAGAAAGAGTAGTTCCTACGTGTGAAGGAAAGTTTAAAAAAAATCTGCTTATTGTAGTTGGTTGTAAGATATTTACTATCATGTTAGAACATGAAAAGCTCTGTTATAAATTCGATCTAACTTTATTTTGTTCTTTGTTCCCAGCCGTTTAGGCCCTGGAACCCCTTTGCCCCATGATTCCTGATAAACTTTGGGAAATGCTCTTGACTTATTTCATGATTCCCTTTGGGTACTGGGATTCTTTATCTTCCCATGTTTGCTCTTCAGTATCAGGTAATCTTGGTGTGACACTAGGCAGGGAACTGGAACAGTAGGAAGGGCACACAGTTCTGAACAGAATTTATGGTGCCCGTCAGTTACAGGAGCCTTGTCAGAGAGAAGCTTTCAATTACTGATGGAAAGGTCATGCCATTTACCTTGACGGCACAAGGGCCTACAAAAGTAACATAAAGAAATTCCTCTAGTCCTCCTTCTCCAGGATAAGCATGAAAGCTTATTCCCACTCTACTCCGTGCTTCTTCTGAGAGGTGGATTGTTGGAATGAGGAGAGTAGTCTGAACTGAGAGGGGCTTGTGAATGAGGTTGCAGAAGGAAGCTAGCCCATGGGAAATTTTGTGATTCCTTTTTTCCTTGATGTACATCTATCCTCTGACGCCAGTGAGCATTCCAGGTCCAGAGAGCCTCTTCTTAAGGTTCCATAGCTGTATGGGTCTCTATATGCATGGAAGATGAAGAGATGGCTTTCTCTGAGTAATGGAGCTTGATTCATAAAAATAGTGAAACAAATAAGATTTTAGAATGTTGATCAGTTCCTTAGAACCTAATAATTTGAAACATAATTCTAATTTTTTTTTATTCTTATGTTAATCCCCATACATTATATCATTAGTTCTAGATGAAGTGTTCCATGATTCATTGTTCGTGCACAACACCCAGTGCTCCATGCAGAACGTGCCCTCCTCAATACCCACCACCAGGCCAACCCATCCTCCCACCCCCCTCCCCTCTAGAACCCTCAGTTTGTTTTTCAGAGTCCATCGTCTCTCATGGTTCGTCCACCCCTCCGATTTCCCCCGCTTCATTCCTCCCCTCACGCTACCTTCTTCTTCTTCTTTTTTTTTCTTAACATATCTTGCATTATTTGTCTCAGAGGTACAGATCTGAGATTCAACAGTCCTGCACAATTCACAGCGCTTAACAGAGCACATACCCTCCCCAGTGCTATCACCCAGTCACCCCATCCCTCCCACCCCACCCCCCACTCCAACAACACTCAGTTGAAACATAATTCTAATTTAGTAAAGTCTTAAACATACTTATTATTAGAGTAGGAAAGAATCATTTCCTTGAAAAATTCTTTCAGGTTTAATCAGATCAAGTTTGAGGCCCGTGAACTGTGCCCCAGGTTTCCATTTATCCCTGTCTCATTTTCTCTTTCCCACATTAACCCCCACAGAGCCCAGCATGGATGGAAAATCCATTTGGCATTTTGGGAAGTGTCTTTATAATAAAGGAAAAACAAAGACCTAAGGGAAACTTTGCAAACACAAAGGTAGCAACCATGCCATACAGTGCAGCCCACGCATCCTGAGGTCACTGCAATTGAGCCACTTGGCAGAAGAGGCAACTTCTTAGGCACTGGAACGAGGGGTCCTTCTTTTCATCGGAAGAAAGGGAACTGCCCACAGATATCCACTCCTATTCTTTCCTTTAGCATGTCTCTTCCAAGGAAAGTTGCTTGTCCTAGATACAGTCTTAGGTGAACAGTGGGTGTATAATCCTCACTTTTTCTATTGGAGTTTCCGTGTCTTCCTTTCCTTCGGAACTAATAAAAGATAAGGATATTTCCCCCTAGAATATGCATGCTGATCTAACTTCTGTTAGGATAAAGAATGAATCAGCACATTATTTTTTTTCTTAAAGATTTTATTTATTTATTTGAGAGAGAGAACACAAGAAGGGAGGATGGGCAGAGGGAGAGGGAGAAGCAGACATCCCACTGAGCAGGGAGCTGGATGCAGGACTCCATCCCAGCACCCTGGGATCATGACCTGAGCCCAAGGTAGATGCTTAACCAACTGAGCCACCCAGGCACCCCTATGAATCAACACATTAAAGCATGTGTGTGTGTTGGTGGTAGTGGGGGGTAGATCATAAAAATATAAGGAAAAGAGAGAAAGACTTCTAAGGGCACCATGCTTCAGGAGGCCCATGGGTAAATGAAAACAACCTCTGTTATTTCCAACTATTATTGAATGATTTTAATCTTTATAATTGTGAGATTCATGTAGGCTGCATTATGATTGTGTGAATTTAGATGTGGTTCCTGCTTTTTAAGTGGTTTAATAAGAGAACATTGAAGTGTTCTTATCCTGTATAATCAGAAGATTTGATAAAGTTCTGATCAAGGATTACATTGACTCCATAAGTCTGCTAAAAACTAACTGCAAAATCACTTCCCAGGAGTTAATGGAGGCTAATTTTCATCATTCATTTGTTCACTCATCAACTATTATTTAAAAGCCTACTATTTGCCAGAAAATGTGGGAAATGTGCTAGGCATTATGACTCAGTTGTGAAAAAGACAGACAAAGGCCCATTTTTTTTTAATATGATGAAAAGTGCACTTTTTAATCTCCATCACCTATTTCACCTATTCCCCCACCCACCTCCCTTCTGGTAATAATCCGTGTTTTCTCTATAGTTAAGAGTCTGTTTCTTGGTTTGTCTCTCTCTCTCTCTCTATCTCTCTTTTTCTTTGCTAATTTGTTTTGTTTCTTGAATTCCACATATGAGTAAAATCATATGGTATTTGTGTT